TACAACGTGGATCAAACAGCGTCTTATTTGTTGCCCATTACGTTCCATGAAGAACATGTTAAAAATTTTGCCCCGCACTGAAAGTGACGTCAAGAGACCGAGTGATGAGCAATAAATTGACTGTTGGGTACAGATGGTAATAATAAGAAGTAATGATAATGCGTCGTTAGAGTGACAGTGAGCCATAAAGTTGTAGTGAGTCGTAATTTAAGGTTGAGTCATATAGCGTGGTAGGTAAGAGTGCTACAGTATAGCAGGTCAGTTACATGGTTAGTCATAATCATGACAATGAAAGTTTTTTAATCGCTATTCGTAAACCCTGGAGCCTCTATGTGTCCTTGTAATGAAAGTAAATGCTTTTTAATTGAATAGATTTGAGTAATTGCTTGAAACAGTTAACCTTATTATTTTTTTCAAATGAAAATTTATCGGGGTTTGTTCCATGCTAAATATCAATAAAAAATACACACAATTCCATCTAATTTTCTCATATTCGACTTTTAATGACATGCATGGCTATCGGTGCGATGTATTTTAGTCTCAGTTCCTTAGGTGAGACAATCTAATAGTAATACTAGAATCAGAGGTGGGCAGTAGCGCGCTACATGTAGCGGTAGCGGCTCTACATTTAAGGCAATGTAGCGGTAGCGGTAGCGCCCGCTACATATTTAAGTAGCGATACGAGGTTTTGCCGCTACGGCGCTACCGCTACATGCATTTATAGATAAAGCCTTTAGATTTTACTTAAGGGGACCGGCTACCCTCCAACAAAACTTTTTTGTTTACAGACGGATCGTCTTGAAACTTGGTACACATATGTAAAACAGAAATCTAAGACCTTTTTGTTCATGTAAATTTAAAAAAATTAAAGAAAACGTGGAATTAATAGAAAACGGCATATAAGGGGTACTCTAAAAATATTTATAACTTTTGCAAATCACATGCTACAATGTCGAGACACATATCATTCGATTTGTAACAACAATATCTAGCGACTGTAGAGCCCCGATTTTTTATTTTACTCATCGTTTTTTTCTCGTTCTTCCCATTTTTTCACATTTTTACCCCCCCGCCTTCCTCCCCCTCCCATATATAAGTCAAACCATGCATATATTAAAAAAAGGCTTCTAGAGTCGCTAGGTATTGTTTTTACAAATAGAATGGTATGTCTCTCATTGCCGTAGCTTGAAAACTGTTGGAGTTATAATTTTTTTAAGATGGCTTTTTTTGGATTTTTAAATTTTTCAGGGGAGCCAAATAAAGTAAAATTCATTGAAAACAGAAGAATATGCCGAAAAAGTTTTGATATTGTAGCCCAAGCTTTCCCATTGCCAATTATTTGCATTCAAGGTACCAGCACGCGTCTTTAGACCTATTTATGTTCAATTTAACGTGAATAATAGGCTATAAATGGGACTTTTTATGTATAAATATATATATATATAAAATATTCATTTTACATAACTTTACAACTGCGTTACGCAAAAACTATTGCATGAACATCCATGATAGTAGCTTTGTTAAACGCGTCTTGTTTATAGCTTTCAAACGAGTGCAAACACTTGCAATTAACCTAAATAATGACATATAATTACCATTTATTTGTAAATAATGATATAAAATAATCATTTTATAAAAGTTTAAAACTGCATTACACAAAAAAGTATTGCATGTACATCTATGGTAGTAGCTTTGTTGAACGCGTCTCGTTTGTAGCTTTCAAACGAGTGCAAACACTTTGTAATTAACGAGAGTAATGATCTATATATACAGATTTAATACAAATAAATCTTTGTACATATTGTTAAAAAATGTTCATATATATATTTTTTTAATTATCTTACGCAAAAATTACAGCACGCACAGACATGCGGTAAACTGCGTTAGACGCGCCTTTTAATTCAGCAGCTACAAAATGAGTCAAGAAAACGGTAAAGCCAAAATTTCCGATTTTTAAGGTAGCCGGTCTCCTTAATAGTATTAAATATTATTTAAAAACCAGCATGATACATATATACTATAAATTACAGAATAAAACTGTACGAAAGATTTCGGTGTAATGTTGTCAACCTCAGCTTCGGTCTCGGCTCAAAATTTTAACTGGGATGTTAGTTGTTACTTGTTAAGTTGTTACCAGTTACCACTTACAGGTTTTTTTCATCTTTCAGTTTGCTATACAGTTATTTTTACACAGTTATTTTTATGTTTCACCTTCCCTACATGGATGTCTACTTTAATCTACCAATCTCAAAAATAATCCACATATATATACAGAATAGACTGATTTTTATATGCATATGTTTATAATTTCTTAGATTGGTAGATTAAAGTTCACATCCACGTAGGGAAGGTAAAACATAAAAATAACTGCAACTTCTATTTACTGTATCTAACCCTGGGGTAACCCATACTAGTTCGGTTAGGTTAATTGCAATAAAGTTGCATTGATATGTTTTAAAAATGTTTTATTATCATTAAATGTTAATGAGTAAATCCTAATAGAAGAACAATAAATATTTAGAGATTTCCAATAATTTTGGCCATTGTAGCGGCTAATGTAGCGCGCTACATTTTACTGTAGCGGTAGCGCCCGTTACAATCTAGTGGGTGTAGCGGTAGCGGTAGCGCCCGCTACATTTAGAGCATGTAGCGGTAGCGGTAGCGCCCGCTACATTTAGAGCATGTAGCGGTAGCGGTAGCGCCCGCTACATTTAGAGCATGTAGCGGTAGCGGTAGCGCCGCTACATTTCAAAGTAGCGCTGCCCAGCTCTGATTATTATAATAAATTGTCAGCGCAGATTATATATCGTACGCTTGCTGTGTTCCGCGCTGATGTTGACTTCAGATAGGAGGTTATTAACTTCCGTTTGTTCTAGAAAAGTTGTTTTTTGTTGCTGTTCCAAAAGAGTTTCCTCTACTGCAGTGGTTAAACTAAACTCCAGTCGTAAATGTACTAACCTTTAATTGTTTTTGTTTAATGACAGTCTCTTTATTTGCAGTTCGTGCGAGCATAAATAAATTCAATCATGCATGTAAATAAATTATTACGACGATATGAATGTTTTCTCATGGCCGGTGAATAAATGTGTGAATTTCTTCCTTATACAGCGGAGATAACGCACCGTGCTACTAAGTTTGACATTTTCTACACCGGAGACAAAATCATCATTAATATTTTTAAAATCAATCACAATAATTAATCCTCCTTTCAATGGAGTGGTAAATTTTTTATTATTGTTTAAACATGTAAACACAATCATTACTCCTACTTTCGTTAGAGTGGCTCCTGCTGTGATAATTATTCATGATCGGTCGGCTTATAATCGTCTGGACGTTATACCAGAATAGAGATAGCGATTGTGTCAACAGATTAAGATAGCAAAGACCGATTGCAGTGGCTTGCTGCGAATCCAAAGTGATGTCGTTTGGGCGGCCGGGCTAATTGGAAGCGACGTTTGAGTTAGTCGAGTATGAATTAAACAGTAATGAGAAATGAAGAAACGAAATTTATGTTAAAGACCTAATGCATTATGCCAGATACTTAAAGTTACCTTTTCCAGCATCAGTTGGCAGCTCATGTTCATCTCCTGCATACACGTCTGGTGATGATGGGTCATGAGGCGAGAGGTGCACGGCGAGAACGTGCTGTAGAATTGTTCGCAGATGCTGTAGACTTTAATAAGGATAATGCGAGTACGAAGAACTTACCTCGTATATGTCAATGGAAAATTAAGCTGAAGTGATTACTCCAGTAGAATTAGATTATGAATCTAAAGCCAATCGAGCTAATAGTGTACCATTACTGCCAAAAACCTGTTTGAATGAACTGTCAGAATATATAATAAAATTCAGGATACAAGTTTGAAGAAATTGATTGGTAATTGAATCGCTTCTCGGCCGAGATTATTAACGGGCTATGATTTGTGCATCCAAGCTAAAAGTAAGCTCAACTAAGGTAGAGCTTAGAAAACTGTTATTAATTCATTATTTATTCGGCTGATTGGTATAATGCTGATGATTAATTGATCTGCTGATAACTGATGGTCCTTGTACTGATGACCTTGTTGAAGAGATCGAGGCACTAATACAAAGGTGCTAGTTTCTTATTCACTTGGAAATAGTTTTACTTGTCTCGTGTACGTGAATTTAACGAACACCATCAGTTTATCGACTATTTTCGCTAGATTTTGAAAACAAGTGAATAGAAACGTTTTGCAAAATTTACGTCGCTCAACTCATCTTCGAACATTTAAAGTTTGTCTTCCTGTTTAACGTCACGATTATTCAGAGAAAATAAATTCAGTCAGATCCCCATTCTTTATATATATTCTCGATATAATTAAGATAATTGAGTAAGCAACATAAGTGCCTCTGAATTATGTACCCATCAAAACGTTGCTCAAAAAACGGCAATTTGGTGTCAATGACACAACAGCGAAAAAAGAAGCAGCTGCTAATGTCAAATCGGATGGAGAAGAGCGTTGTGTTATAGCTCCAGGGCAACCAATGATCGCAGGGACAGCCAATACCCAATTAATTATTGGATTTTAAAATGAACATCAGCAGCTAGTAATTGTAGGTCGTTTTTGGTCGACAATACATTGAGTTGAACTGCCATCAACTTCCATTTGATTTGGAGCTCTATGAGTGTCTATGAGCTTAAGGTCTATGAGCACTTATTTATGGAGTGAATACGTAACAACAAGGAATGGTATATGAAATGTTGATGTAGTTGTTGATGAATAAACATCTATTCAGATGTTCATTCATCTGAATAGTTGGTTCATTACCAATAAGGGTATTAATTCCCAAAACATGGATAGATACCACTTGTACACAGAAACTATTATCCAAAATCAATTTTTCCCATCTGCATTGGAGGAACAAGCGTAGTTCCAACACTATGCCGCCAGTCCATAACCCTTAAATGACGTGTTGTCCGTAGTCCGTACTCCGTAGTCCGTACGCCTGCCTCTGCCCTCAGCTCAGTGTACGTTGAGCCGTGGTCCAGTGTGGGTTAGCATCCCTCTTGTTCTCGGTACTTTCTCTGAAAGCATCCAGCTAAATCGCATGAACTCGTCATGTTTCTGATGTGATTCAGATCGGATGATAAGTAGAAATTTCATCCTTTTTGTGGAGAATCAACATTGCGAGAGAAGGTAAGTGGAATTTTTTGGTTTTAGTGTGTCTGAATAGACGTGCTTAGGAGTCACTGCCTGAACAAGTATGAGTGAAGCAAGTATATACTAAATAGTAACAATGTACTACCGTACTGGGGCACCTATTTTCGGATAACTGCCACTTCTTTAATAGCTGCCCTGATATAAGGTGTTAAGAAATGTCTTGTGCTATTTGGTATAAGTGAAGCGTTTGAACTGGTGTCTTGTGCCTACATAAACTGTCAATTGTGGTACACTTCTTTCAGGCCGAGGCCGATTATTCCTGGTGGAGGTGGTATACTTTAAACTCTTTATTTAATAAATGTACTTATTTTATTTAACCATAGAATATTTTAACAAGCAAGACTGCGAGTTAAATTTACTTTTGTTGTAGGATTATTGTTGCGTTCCTTTTTAGAATTTAGAGTTTTGAGTAAACGATAATTTCTTCTCGTGGAAACTAGCGTTCACGGTTCAGCTACAAACCAGTGAATGAAATTGCGCTCTATTTATTTACGGAGTCATAAGTACCTAATAACATTGGACCGTGTAATACTGATTCATTTCTTTCATTTATTTCAGTACGTTTTGATTGAGTTTCCTTATGAAAAAAATGAATTCAGAAATGACTGTTTTTGGGCTACGTTGAATAAGATTTAGATTCATTTAGTTATTTTTTTCATTCTGAATATTGGTAAGGTTTCACCTGGTCCCTGCCGAGTTCAGTTTGCAGCAATTCATGCGACAACCAACCAATTGGAACAAAAAGTTTCTCTCTTGAAATTGAATGGGCTCAATGAGGTTAACTTCGGTTAAGCTTACCGCCATATAGTCAGAGTTAGAAATCATATATCGAAATTGGGATGGACTAATCACTACTGTATATAGTTCTGGCACAATTAATTATTTATTCCGGCGTTGTTGAATCATTGGAACGTTTCATTTTAGGTTACATTGCTGTTAAACTGATGCAATTATCTGCCCGCACTTCCTTCTTAAATTGTTTGCCATATGTATAATAATTTTCTAGTCAACTGTTAGTTACTGGACTAAGCTTATAGGTCGGCGCTGTTCAATGAGAATTATTGTACGTACGCGAGTCAGTTGCGTCTCTAGTACGATTTGTTTTAATTTGTTATCACTGTGATAAAATAAAAACATTCCATTAAATAACTCTGAATAATCTTTTGATGTCGATTTTTTAAAGAATGCTGAGTACTATGATGAAATTGAGTAAAACCAACTGGGGAAGGAAACTTCCGAGTATATATGGAAGAATTCAGCTGAGAATATCTCCTTGCTCTGCTAAGGTATATTCTACGTGTAAGGCTTCATGTCTAAATTTTGAATCTTGTAAACTTTTAAATCAGTTTTATTTTAGCATAGTTTTCCGTGCGAGAGATTGTGATGCCGAAGCTGACGGGCGGACGATGGCTGCTACCTCGTAGCTCAGAAGACGCACGTGGCTGCGCTCTCGCCTAGCAAACGTGGATGATGGATGGTTTTATGGATCTGCTCTACCGAATTTTGAGATCCTGCTTTCCGCTGCAGCCGTGATGATATAGAAACAACAGAGATCTCCTTCCTGTTTGTTGGTACCTGTTGGAGAGTGTGGAGTTCACAGCTAATCATTGTCCATCAAACTCTTGAGAAACCGACCGAATTTTAGCTGTTTCACGAGACGCTTGAAGCCTTCACTGTTCAACTAATCTTAGGCGATAGAGGACAACTCCATATTCCCTCGGAATGAATTGCTGCTATTTAACTTGGGCAATTACTACTGCATATAAGGTGTTAGCTCAGCTCTATTATTTATTGATTTCTCGTAATTATTAGTTGTACAGAGGATTCGATCACCATCGCTGGTCGCGGTCAAAATTTTCTACATCGGTGCCAGCTCGTGGAAATAGTGCCAGTAAATCAAAGCTTATTTGAAAATATGGCGAGTTTGGCTTCAGATTGCTCCGTGTGTTGCGTTTTGTTCGAAAAGATGTTGACTGATTTATTACGTCGCGTCTTGTGCCACTCTAGTTGCGTGAAAAATTGATGCAGTTGTACTGGAGACTTCCCTTCAAATTAGGATAGTACAAAAATCAGTTAGGGTAGGTATATATCTATCCTCTGTGCTAGGTTGAAACTGCTAATGAGACGAGATGGTAATCTCCGTTTCGCTTCTGAAGCAGGATGTGCGTTTTGAAACAATGTTTAGTTTCGGCGATATTCTTTCGATTATATACAGAAAACTTGTCCTTTAACCTATGTTGAATATTAGCAAAAATAATTGCATTTGCATGAAGGTTCTGCAAACTCGGCTTCGTGAAACTTTTCTGCTTGGTATGAATATTTTGGATATTTTGTTTTTTCAAAGAAAGACGATGATCGGCTAACAACTTGATAACTACCAACATAATTCTTCTTCCGAAGTGAAAAGATTTAGGAGAAGCCTCCTGAAATTCCTGGTGCTGTGAACTTGATGAAGTGAAGAGTGCAGATAATGTCCTTTATGCCTGCCTCTGACTGATTACGGGCGCGCGGCCCACGCTGCTGCCGTATTATCGCCTTGCGCCTTGCGTTTTCCGTTACCGCCTTGTGCCTTACGTCACCGCCTTGTGCCTTACGTCACCGACTTGTGCCTTACGTCACCGCCTTGCACCTTACGTCACCGCATTGCGCTTTACTTCACCGCCTTGAGTTCTACATTACCGCCACGCGGGTTATGATAATGCCCGTTTTCAGAGGTAGTTTTTTTTAAAAACGCTACTAAACTTGCAAATATTATACTGTCAACCTAGCTTCTAAACTCTCGTCAATTTCTCACATTCAAATTTTCTGGATCTCGGTAGGGTGTGTTCGTTGGCATCAGCTCGGGGATGTAGGGACCTTGCAACAGAAGTTGAGAATTTCAATCAATTTAATTCTGAAAATATCATCCAAGTTTGATGTAATATCAAACACTGGCTTTAATGGATGCGATGAAGCCCTCAAATTCGATAAATTTTCAATATACATTTTAATTTCGCACCTGATATTGCACTACACTTCATTGCACTACACACAAACATGCGGCCTTGCATGTTTTATCGTCTGCCGTTTGATGGATGCTTACCGACACCTGTAAGTTCTAATTAGAATGTAAGAGGTGCACTTAATTTGCTTGGTACAATTTAATGAGACTGCACAGTGTTAAAGGACAAATTACGTTACCTATTGTGCAGTAACGTTACCTATTGTGCAGTAACGTTACTTATTGTGCAGTAACGTTACCTATTGTGCAGTAACGTTACTTATTGTGCAGTAACGTTACCTATTGTGCAGTAACGTTACCTATTGTGCAGTAACGTTACTTATTGTGCAGTAACGTTACCTATTGTGCAGTAACGTTACTTATTGTGCAGTAACGTATTGTGCAGTAACGTTACTTATTGTGCAGTATACTTATTGTGCAGTAACGTTACCTATTGTGCAGTAACGTTACTTATTGTGCAGTAACGTATTGTGCAGTAACGTTACTTATTGTGCAGTAACGTATTGTGCAGTAACGTTACTTATTGTGCAGTAACGTTACTTACTGTGCAGTAACGTTACTTATTGTGCAGTTAAGTTGCGTATTATGCAGTCTGAACGCACCGCAGCGTGTAGTGCGAGATGCGTATACGTAGACCAAGAGAGGCTAGCAACACCTGCACTACTTGATTATCTTCCATAAACGCTCGGTTCATTTCTTGCATCTGAGGTTTAATTAAAGTTTGCGCTCGTGAGGTAAGCTTTGTGTTCAGTTTTCGCTCTTTGAATTCATTTGAGCTTCTCTTTATCAGGCTCAAGCGACTCTTTACATGCAACCAAATTTTAATTTCTCCTGGGCAGATGGCGCTGCCGAAGTTCTTGTAGTTCTTGAGACTGGAAGTTTAGTTATATTCTAATATTCATTTTTATAAGTTTATGTGAGTAAACTTCTAAATCTAGCGGAACTTGTGTCATGCTGTGCTATTCACGTGCTCAATTTTTACCGATATTTGCAGCTAATTGAAAAGGCGTCTTAGAATTTAATTTCTGAATGGCTTCGAAGAAGAATGGCTTCAACAGCATCTTGCATCAGCTGGCTCAAAGGAGTGAAAAGATACGGAACACGTCCAACGTTACATCCGGGACCCGATGACGGGGGTGACCTGCCCAGCGACGACTCGGAGACGGAGGACGACGAAGGCGGCGCATCAGCGTGACCTTGGGCTACTAAGTCCTAAACTCATCATAAGATCATGAATTTCAGATTGTCAAATAATGCTAGCTTGAAATTCTTCGCATTCCCGCAGTTTACCTCAATTTTCTATAACTCATATTTATTATGCTTACTGAAACCGTTACTGGGTATCACAGCGGCTAAAAAACTTACGCTCGCTGACAACTAAGGAGACTGAAATAACAATTGTAAAGAAGCGTGGGGCGTATCATTCGTTTTGTATGAAGAAACGAATGAGACGCCCAAACGAATGACGCGCCCCAATGACACGCCCCACATGATACTTTCGTATCATGGGCTGACTCTGAGAAGCTATCGAGACGATCACTATAAGTGCTAGATTGATTGTGTGTTTGAATTACGCATCCGCGATCAGAAAATTATAGCTTGGCAATCTCTCAGGTACTGAGTGACATTTCTTTAACATCGTAATTTTTATTGAACATGTGTCCTGAATGGTATTATGTCAGCATTTTCTTATTCTTCAATTTGTTAGGAGTCCTCAAAAATAACAGGAAGAATAATTTATTATAATTATGTGTATGCGGGTAATTCGTTCTTTCTTACTTATATTCAGTTCCTCCACTCATATGAAGCAGTCCACCGCAGCCAGGCCGGCCTGTTGCCCATGCTGGGTATCAGGAAGTAGCGCAATTAGCCTTATCGTGCACCAAACCATTTGTCGCATATGATCACCTGCTATACGACTTCAGCTCTACCAGATTTACACTGCCACTGGGCACTTCGTCAATCATGATTTATT